ACAAGACAGAAGCAGTCAGACACAGTACGTTTAAAAGAGTCAAGATGAAGTCCTTCAGTTGTTGCACAGATAAAAATAACTGATTTAACCTGGATTTGATCATTATCAGAGAAGAAGTCTGTCTCACATTTTCAGGAAGACTGTTCCAGGTTTTTGCATGTATCTGAAACACTGCCTCCACATGTTTAGTCCTGACTCTGCGGAAACAGAGCTGCAGCCACTGATTATGACACGCTTTGGAGGTCCAGAGGAAGACCCAGAGGAAGACCGGACGAAGACCAGAGAGAGACCCAGAGGAAGACCAGAGGAAGACCAGAGGAAGACCGGACGAAGACCAGAGAGAGACCCAGAGGAAGACCAGAGGAAGACCAGAGAGAGACCCAGAGGAAGACCAGAGGAAGACCAGAGAGAGACCAGAGGAAGACCCAGAGGAAAACACAGAGGAAGCCCCAGAGAATACCCAGAGACGACTCAGAAGAAGACCTAGAGGAGACCAGAGGAAGATCGAGAGGAACCTGAGGAGAAGACCAGATAAAAATCTAGAGGAAGCCATAGTTAAGAACCAGGAACAGACTGAGAGGAGACCATAGGAAAACCCAGAGGAAGACCCATGTAAAAACCAGAAAAGACCAGATGAAAACCAGAGGAAGACCCAGAGGAAGACCCAGAGCAAGACCCAGAGCAAGACCCAGAGCAAGACCCAGAGGAAGACCCAGACGAAGACCCTGAGGAAGACCCAGAGCAAGACCCAGAGGAAGACCCAGACAAAGACCCTGAGGAAGACCCAGAGCAAGACCCAGAGGAAGACCCAGACAAAGACCCTGAGGAAGACCAAGTGGAAGACCCAGAGGAAGACCCAGGTAAGAACAAGGAGGACACTGAGGAGATGTCCCAGCTGGAGTCCAGTCCCTGTGCTCCTCAGAGTCCCAGCAGGAGGCCAGTCCCTGTGGTCCTCAGAGTCCCAGCAGGAGGCCAGTCCCTGTGCTCCTCAGAGTCCCAGCAGGAGGCCAGTCCCTGTGCTCCTCAGAGTCCCAGCAGGAGGCCAGTCCCTGTGCTCCTCAGAGTCCCAGCAGGAGGCCAGTCCCTGTGCTCCTCAGAGTCCCAGCAGGAGGCCGGTCCCTGTGCTCCTCAGAGTCCCAGCAGGAGGCCAGTCCCTGTGCTCCTCAGAGTCCCAGCAGGAGGCCGGTCCCTGTGCTCCTCAGAGTCCCAGCAGGAGGCCAGTCCCTGTGCTCCTCAGAGTCCCAGCAGGAGGCCAGTCCCTGTGCTCCTATAGTATATAGTACTACCGTAAGCCACAACAAGCCACCTCCAACACATCACACTCTCCAGCCACGTGCACGCGCAGAGTTCACCTTCAGCCTCGGAGTGCGCGCACGTCACCCCCACGCCACTGCGAGCACGTGCGTGTGTCAGAATAACCATGATTCAAACCCACAAAATTAAAAGCGCGTGCAAGTGCCACGGCTCGCGGGGGGCTCATCAATCACACCCCCGGGAGCGCGCACGCGGCGAACGTGGGACGCATACAACACAAGGCGCATAACGGGAGACTTCCCTCTTCATTTCTCTTTCTCTCTCTCTCTCCCTTCATCAGACAGGCACACGCACGCGCACAGCCACAAACAGACACGGGAGCGCGCACCAAGCGTCAAAAACCAGCATCACACACACACACTGCAGACATGTGACAAAAAGTACAGATTGGATTCATTTGATTTGAGTTCATAGATTTGTAGATTTGAATTCACGTTGATGTGAGTCCGTGGCGTCAGTGAAAGAACGAGATTCACCAAAGGACGCCGCGGGGATGGCTTGTTATCCACAAAGAGAGACGAGAAAATCTCACTTGGAACGAGACAGAAGCAGAAAGAGTCCATTGTACAGACCTTAGAGCTGCTGTGATCTTTAATAATAATAATAATAATATAAAAGTCTAAATCTGCAGCTTCCATTGGCTCCTGGTGTTTTAGGACTTGCCAATGAGAAGATTTTGCAAAATGGAAAAATCAAGGTGAAAACCCCAATAATTGACCATGACATGTGTTATGTTCACGGCTCAAACAGCGGAGGATTAAATAATAAAATAATAACTCACCTCGCTCCAAAGTGATGTAAATGTTTATGGCCAAAGTTAGAATCCACGCCGCTGCCCGCATCGTTCCCCCGGTCACCCCCCGCCTGAGTCATGAGGTCCCACACATCCAAGCGATCTATGGTCCTGTCTGGTCTCTCTCTGGTCTCTCTCCGGTCTCTCTCCGGTGTCTTTCTGTTTACTGCTCTTTCTGCCGGTTTCACAAGGACGAACGCGGGAAGCCTGTGTGTGTTTCCCTCCCTCTCTCTCTCCCTCTCCCTCTCTCTCTCTCCTCCCTCTCTCTCTCTCTGATCAATCCTTCGTCGTGTTACATTCTCGTTATTGTGGCATGCATCCTGTGTTGGAGGTGCTGACGGCTGGTTCCTCTCTCATACACACACACACAAACACACACGCACATAGACAGACACACACACACACACATAGTGCACGTTTCTAGAGTAGAGTAGAGTAGGGTAGGGTAGGGTAGAGTAGAGTAGAGTAGGGAAGAGTAGAGTAGGGTAGAGTAGGGTAGGGTCGAGTAGAGTAGAGTAGGGTCGAGTAGAGTAGAGTAGAGTAGAGTAGGGTAGAGTAGGGTAGGGTAGAGTAGAGTAGAGTAGGGTCGAGTAGAGTAGAGTAGAGTAGGGTAGAGTAGGGTAGGGTAGAGTAGAGTTGAGTAGAGTTGAGTAGAGTAGAGTAGGGTAGAGTAGGGTAGAGTAGAGTAGAGTAGGGTAGAGTAGGGTAGGGTAGAGTAGAGTTGAGTAGAGTAGAGTAGGGTAGAGTAGAGTAGAGTAGAGTAGGGTAGAGTAGAGTAGAGTAGGGTAGGGTCGAGTAGAGTAGAGTAGGGTCGAGTAGAGTAGAGTAGAGTAGGGTAGAGTAGGGTAGGGTAGAGTAGAGTAGAGTAGAGTAGGGTAGAGTAGAGTAGAGTAGAGTAGAGTAGAGTAGGGTAGGGTAGGGTAGGGTAGGGTAGAGTAGGGTAGAGTAGAGTAGAGTAGGGTAGAGTAGAGTAAGGTAGAGTAGGGTAGAGTAGAGTAGGGTAGAGTAGAGGAGAGTAGAGTAGAGTAGAGTAGGGTAGGGTAGGGTAGGGTAGGGTAGAGTAGGGTAGGGTAGAGTAGGGTAGAGTAGGGTAGAGTAGAGTAGAGTAGGGTAGAGTAGGGTAGAGTAGAGTAGGGTCGAGTAGAGTAGAGTAGAGTAGGGTAGAGTAGGGTAGGGTAGAGTAGAGTAGGGTAGAGTAGAGTAGAGTAGGGTAGAGTAGGGTACAAAAGAGTAGAGTAGAGTAGGGCAGGGTCGAGTAGAGTAGGGTAGAGTAGGGTAGGGTAGAGTAGAGTAGGGTAGAGTAGAGTAGAGTAAGGTAGAGTAGGGTAGAGTAGAGTAGGGTAGAGTAGAGGAGAGTAGAGTAGAGTAGGGTAGGGTAGGGTAGAGTAGGGTAGGGTAGGGTAGGGTAGAGTAGAGTAGGGTAGAGTAGAGTAGAGTAGGGTAGGGTAGGGTAGGGTAGAGTAGAGTAGAGTAGGGTAGAGTAGGGTAGGGTAGGGTAGAGTAGAGTAGAGTAGAGTAGAGTAGGGTAGGGTAGAGTAAGGTCGAGTAGAGTAGAGTAGAGTAGGGTAGAGTAGAGTAGAGTAGAGTAGAGTAGGGTAGGGTCGAGTAGAGTAGCATAGAGTAGAGTAGAGTAGAGTAGAGTAGAGTAGATAATCAGAATTCTTTTTTTGCAGTGTGAGTAACAGGAAATGTCTGTGACTCTCGGTGTAAACAAGTTAAATCAGAATAAAATCAAAGGCATGAATAAAAATCTACATAAATGACTTCAGTTTAAAGTGCGGTTGGAACAGTCCATGTGCAGGTGAGAGGGGAGTGGTTGGAATAGTCCATGTGCAGGTGAGAGGGGAGAGGTTGGAATAGTCCATGTGCAGGTGAGAGGGGAGAGGTTGGAATAGTCCATGTGCAGGTGAGAGGGGAGTGGTTGGAACAGTCCATGTGCAGGTGAGAGGGGAGTGGTTGGAACAGTCCATGTGCAGGTGAGAGGGGAGTGGTTGGAATAGTCCATGTGCAGGTGAGAGAGGAGAGGTTGGAATAGTCCATGTGCAGGTGAGAGGGGAGTGGTTGGAACAGTCCATGTGCAGGTGAGAGAGGAGAGGTTGGAATAGTCCATGTGCAGGTGAGAGGGGAGTGGTTGGAACAGTCCATGTGCAGGTGAGAGGGGAGTGGTTGGAACAGTCCATGTGCAGGTGAGAGGGGAGAGGTTGGAACAGTCCATGTGCAGGTGAGAGGGGAGTGGTTGGAACAGTCCATGTGCAGGTGAGAGGGGAGTGGTTGGAACAGTCCATGTGCAGGTGAGAGGGGAGTGGTTGGAACAGTCCATGTGCAGGTGAGAGGGGAGTGTTTGGAATAGTCCATGTGCAGGTGAGAGGGGAGTGTTTGGAATAGTCCATTAGTCCATGTGCAGGTGAGAGAGGAGAGGTTGGAATAGTCCATGTGCAGGTGAGAGGGGAGTGTTTGGAATAGTCCATGTGCAGGTGAGAGGGGAGAGGTTGGAATAGTCCATGTGCAGATGAGAGGGGAGTGTTTGGAATAGTCCATGTGAGGTGAGAGGGGAGTGGTTGGAACAGTCCATGTGCAGGTGAGTGGCTGGAATAGTCCATGTGCAGGTGAGAGGGGAGTGGTTGGAATAGTCCATGTGCAGGTGAGTGGTTGGAATAGTCCATGTGCAGGTGAGAGGGGAGTGGTTGGAATAGTCCATGTGCAGGTGAGTGGTTGGAATAGTCCATGTGCAGGTGAGAGGTGAGTGGTTGGAATAGTCCATGTGCAGGTGAGAGGGGAGAGGTTGGAATAGTCCATGTGCAGGTGGAGGAGGTGATGGAGGAGGTGATGGAGGGCGGCACGGTGGCTGAGTGGATAGCACTCTCGCCTCTCAGCAAGAAGGTCCTGGGTTCAAATGGAGGAGGTGATGGAGGAGGTGATGGAGGAGGTGATGGTGGAGGTGATGGAGGAGGTGCTGGAGGAGGTGATGGAGGAGGTGAAGGAGGAGGTGATGGTGGAGGTGATGGAGGAGGTGAAGGAGGAGGTGATGGAGGAGGTGATGGTGGAGGTGATGGAGGAGGTGATGGTGGAGGTGATGGAGGAGGTGATGGAGGATGTGATGGAGGAGGTGATGGAGGAGGTGATGGAAGAGGTGATGGAGGAGGTGATGGAGGAGGTGATGGGGTGGGGTAGGGTAGAGTAGGTTGGGGTGGGGTAGAGTAGAGTAGGTTGGGGTAGGGTAGAGTATGTTGGGGTAGGGTAGAGTAGAGTAGGTTGGGGTAGAGTAGAGTAGGTTGGGGTAGGGTAGAGTGGGTTGGGGTAGGGTAGAGCAGGTTGGGGTAGAGTAGAGTAGGTTGGGGTAGAGTAGAGTGGGTTGGGGTAGAGTAGAGTAGGTTGAGGTAGGGTAGAGTAGGTTGAGGTAGGGTAGAGTGGGTTGGGGTGGGGTAGGGTAGAGTAGGTTGGGGTGGGGTAGAGTAGAGTATGTTGGGGTAGGGTAGAGTAGAGTAGGTTGGGGTGGGGTAGAGTAGAGTAGATTGGGGTAGGGTAGAGTAGGGTGAGGTGGGGTAGAGTAGAGTATGTTGGGGTGGGGTAGGGTAGAGTAGAGTAGGTTGGGGTAGAGTAGAGTAGGTTGGGGTAGGGTAGGGTAGAGTAGGTTGGGGTGGGGTAGGATAGAGTAGGTTGGGGTAGAGTAGAGTAGGTTGGGGTAGAGTTGTGTGGGTTGGGGTGGGGTAGAGTAGAGTAGGTTGGGGTAGGGTAGAGTAGAGTAGGTTGGGGTAGAGTAGAGTAGGTTGAGATAGGGTAGAGTGGAGTAGGTTGGAGCAGGGTAGAGTAGGTTGGGGTAGGGTAGAGTGGGGTGGGGTCGAGTAGAGTAGGTTGGGGTGGGGTAGGGTAGAGTAGGGTGAGGTGGGGTAGAGTAGAGTAGGATGAGATGGGGTAGAGTAGAGTAGGTTGGGGTGGGGTAGAGTAGAGTAGGTTGGGGTAGGGTAGAGTAGGGTGAGGTGGGGTAGAGTAGAGTATGTTGGGGTAGGGTAGAGTAGGTTGGGGGTGGGGTAGAGTGGGTTGGGGTGGGGTAGGGTAGAGTAGGTTGGGGGTAGGGTAGAGTAGGTTGGGGTGGGGTAGGGTAGAGTAGGTTGGGGGTAGGGTAGAGTAGGTTGGGGTGGGGTAGGGTAGAGTAGGTTGGGGGTAGGGTAGAGTAGGTTGGGGTGGGGTAGGGTAGGTTGGGGGTAGGGTAGAGTAGGTTGGGGGTAGGGTAGAGTAGGTTGGGGTAGGGTAGAGTAGGTTGGGGGTAGGGTAGAGTAGGTTGGGGGTAGGGTAGAGTAGGTTGGGGTGGGGTAGGGTAGAGTAGGTTGGGGGTAGGGTAGAGTAGGTTGGGGTGGGGTAGGGTAGAGTAGGTTGGGGGTAGGGTAGAGTAGGTTGGGGGTGGGGTAGGGTAGGTTGGGGGTAGGGTAGAGTAGGTTGGGGGTAGGGTAGAGTAGGTTGGGGTGGGGTAGGGTAGAGTAGGTTGGGGGTAGGGTAGAGTAGGTTGGGGTAGGGTAGAGTAGGTTGGGGTAGGGTAGAGTAGGTTGGGGTAGGGTAGAGGTAAACACTGGTCCCTCTTCATGTTTGTTCCAACGTAAAACATTTACATTGAATTAAATCAGAATCAGAGACATTTGTATTTCTATTGTAAGAAACAGGAAGTAAATGTCTCTTAATGTTGTTAATAATGATAATAATCCCAGCACAGGGACTGGCCTTCTGCTGGGACTCTGAGGAGCACAGGGACCGGCCTCCTGCTGGGACTCTGAGGAGCACAGGGACTGGCCTTCTGCTGGGACTCTGAGGAGCACAGGGACTGGCCTCCTGCTGGGACTCTGAGGAGCACAGGGACTGGACTCCTGCTGGGACTCTGAGGAGCACAGGGACTGGCCTCCTGCTGGGACTCTGAGGAGCACAGGGACTGGACTCCTGCTGGGACTCTGAGGAGCACAGGGACTGGCCTCCTGCTGGGACTCTGAGGAGCACAGGGACTGGACTCCTGCTGGGACTCTGAGGAGCACAGGGACTGGCCTTTACTCTTTTTACTGTGATTATGATTATTTTCTCTGTTGTTGAACATTTCTTGAGTCCTTTGTGTAAACTGTGCCATACAAATAAACGCACCTTTAAACCAGGACCAACAATGACATGAAACTGACTTCTTTGTATAAAACACATCTCGGTGTCACGTGATTCACTGACGGAGAGAAAACAGAGGATTGACCCGCGGCGCTGTGCTGCCCCCGCGTGGACACAAAGAGGTACTGCAGGAGGAAGGAAACAAATACAATATTCCCTTTTATCAAAGAAATGAAATATATAAAACTACTGCTGTTTCAGAATCAGGCCCATTTCCTTATTTTATACTTTAATTCTCTGTGATTTCATAATATTTGCAATAATTTTAAAAATGTCAAAATAGAACGACTTTTATTCTTCATTTTGCTAAAGTTAGAAACTTTGGACTTGCTTTAAAATCTCCAAACTTCTTTTTTGTCGTTATGTTTGAACCTGAAGCTGCTGAAACCTTTTATATCTGTATCTTAATCAACTCAGGGGAAAACACAGATGAATTAAGTAACTATAATAATATAAATCTGTTGTTTAAAGGAAAAAACGTTGTGATTTTTATCGTTTCTTTGACAAATCCTGGTTTAAGGCGACAATATTTTCTTTCAGATGAATAAATGTGAATCAGGATTTTTTTGACAGTGAAGTTTAATTTGATTCTGGAAGTTTCCACGTCTCGTGATTTGGTTTAAGTTTTTCAGTTCTTCAAGTTCACAGAAGTCGTACCTTTGATCCACGATTTCAGGAACGGGTGGAGTCTGCGCAGGTTTCCTCCGGGTGCTCTCACTTCTGTCAAACTTTACTCACAGCAGCTCTTTCTGTTCAGCGTCAGGGTTAGCACAGGGACTTATCACTGCCAACTCCCAGCAGTCAATTTGACTGCTTTCTGTGTTGGACGTATCACTGCTTATGGACATATTTGTTAGTCCTATCTTTAATTCAGAACAGTCTTTTTGACTGTTCTCTCATTTAAATATAAAAATAAAGTATCACCATTTCTGGTTGCTTGGCAACCAACATTCTGTGGAAGTTAAAGCAACTTATCTCAAGCTGCTGGTCCTGGACTGTGCTAGTTACCATAGCAACACAATGTTTGTTACCATAGCAACACACTGTTTGTTACCATAGCAACACACTGTTTGTTACCATAGCAACACACCGTTTGTTACCATAGCAACACACTGTTTGTTACCATAGCAACACACCGTTTGTTACCATAGCAACACACTGTTTAATACCATAGCAACACACTGTTTGTTACCGTGGCAACACAGTGGGCACAAGGAAGTCTTTCAACAAACCAGTTTTAGCACTAAACTGAACAAAGTTCTTGATTCTACTCTTTTTTTGTGGGATTTCTTCAGAATCCATTGATTCCAGACCTTTTGTTTTTAAGATCTGCTAACTACTGTTAGTTACAAACATTAATTAATAACATAAAGTTTACTTAATAATAATAGATCCTGTTTGATGGCGTCGACATTTACACTGAAGAAAGGAAGGTTTCTCTTTTTTTAGTTCAACAGATTGATCCAAGAAGACACGCTATCATCTGTCTACTCGTATCTCTCTCTCTCTCTCTCTGGCTTCTCTCTTTCGCTCTGGTCTCTCTCTCTGGTCTCTCTCTCTCTCTGGTCTCTCCCTCTGGCCTCTCTCTCTCTCTCTGGTCTCTCTCTGGTCTCTCCCTCTGGCCTCTCTCTCTCTCTCTCTGGTCTCTCTCTGGTCTCTCCCTCTGGCCTCTCTCTCTCTCTCTGGTCTCTCCCTCTGGCCTCTCTCTCTCTGGTCTCTCTCTCTGGTCTCTCTCTGGTCTCTCCCTCTGGCCTCTCTCTCTCTGGTCTCTCTCTCTGGCCTCTCTGGCTCTCTGGTCTCTCTCTCTGGTTTCTCTCCCTCCCTCACTCTCTCTCTCTGGTCTCTCCCTCTCTCTCTCTGGTCTCTCTCTGGTCTCTCCCTCTGGTCTCTCTCTGGTCTCTCCCTCTGGTCTCTCTCTGGCCTCTCTCTCTCTCTCTGGTCTCTCTCCCTCCCTCACTCTCTCTCTCTGGTCTCTCCCTCTCTCTCTGGTCTCTCTCCCTCCCTCTCTGGCTTCTCTCTGGCCTCACTCTCTCTCTCTCTGGTCTCTCTCCCTCTGGTCTCTCTCTCTCTCCCTCTGGTCTCTCTCCCTCTGGTCTCTCTCTCTCTCTCCCTCTGGTCTCTCTCCCTCTGGTCTCTCTCTCTCTCTCCCTCTGGTCTCTCTCTCTCTGGCCTCTCTCTCTCTCTCTCCCGCTGGTCTCTCTCCCTCTGGTCTCTCCCTCTGGTCTCTCTCTCTCCCTCTGGTCTCTCTCTCTCTGGCCTCTCTCTCTCTCTCTCCCTCTGGTCTCTCTCCCTCTGGCCTCTCTCTCTCTCTCTCCCTCTGGTCTCTCTCCCTCTGGCCTCTCTCTCTCTCTCCCTCTGGTCTCTCTCTCTCCCTCTGGTCTCTCTCTCTCTGGCCTCTATCTCTCTCTCTCCCTCTGGTCTCTCTCCCTCTGGTCTCTCCCTCTGGTCTCTCTCTCTCCCTCTGGTCTCTCTCTCTCTGGCCTCTCTCTCTCTCTCTCCCTCTGGTCTCTCTCTCTCTGGCCTCTGGTCTCTCTCTCTCTCCCTCTGGTCTCTCTCTCTCCCTCTGGTCTCTCTCTCTCTGGCCTCTCTCTCTCTCTCTCCCTCTGGTCTCTCCCTCTGGTCTCTCTCTCTCTGGCCTCTCTCTCTCTGGTCTCTCTCTCTGGCCTCTCTCTCTCTCTCTCCCTCTGGTCTCTCCCTCTGGTCTCTCTCCCTCCCTCTCTTGCCTGTGAGCAGTCTAAATGACTGCTGTGGTCCTGCTCAGACACAAACTCAGAGACAGTGTTTTTTTAAGATCAACAACTGAACTTTATTCAAACGAAGCCAAACAAACTGAAGGACATGAGACTCAGCTCCTGTGACATCGTGGACCAGAGCCCGGGTCAGAGCGCCGCCGCACACACCGCCAACGGAAGACTTCAGGAACCAGCTCCGGTGTGAGCGGCTCACCGGAGCTAGCAGGGCGCTAACAGGGGAGCTAACAGGGGAGCTAACAGGGGAGCTAACAAGGGAGCTAACGGATGAGCCACACTGCTAACATGCATCCAG